CAATTTTAAATAAGAATTTCCAGCGCGAGCACACTTTGAGCGCGCGCGACAGGTTCAGTATAATAAAGGAAAAAGACAGCAGCCCAACAGCAGCACATCAGCGGCAGTGTTTAGCAGAAACAGAAGCGACAGAGCGCGCGCGCGCACACACACACACACACACATGTAATCTAGCGCGCGTGGCTTTTCATCGTCCTGAAAATCTGGCCGTAGTCCAGGCCCGTATATTTAATGGATTTTAACGCAAGATCTCCAACGCACACGTTTTCACTTAAATACAAAAGCTCGCCAGAAGTGCGCCAGCTCATATGAAACGTACATTTAATTATGATTATTGCAAGGCCCCTGTAGCTTGGAAATTAAAAAAGTATTGATATATCGTTGCTCTTTTTAATAAGGCTTCGCGACATTTTGACACGCGTCTTACAGGCGCGTGCTCGTACAAGCGCTCTTTAATTAATAGTCTTGGTAATTATTTTTTTCTTTTTACTCACATATCACCCCAGTTGCCAGTACTCAATGATATGAACTCATTTTACTGACAAGTTTTATGTAACTCAAGCCTTATACTATTGCATCTTACAAGCCACTCTCAAGTGTCTCTTTTCGAAAGTATAAAACTAATGATTTAGCAAAGTTTTCGTACAAAAAGGTACTGCAAAGTTCATTTGACAAATTAGCATACCGTTCAACGACGTTATGAATATGTACTTGCAGAGGGATTGATTTCATTACGATCAACTCATAGATATGTAGCTGTCGCGCCAGAGGCGCGCGCTACCTGCAGGTCGCCCGCCGAGCCTCTTCAGCTGAGGCGAGCTGGTCCGACGCACAGTGGTCGGAACAGTATTAAAAATGCACTAAACCTCAGTGTCAAGCGTATGAGGCACCAATCGAAAATCTAGACATAGTTTTAGATTTGGAAAACCATGACGAATCCAAAACCGTTTCCCTTTTTTATTTAGCAATAACCATCCGTTCTCTAAAGTATAAAAAAATGACAAAAATAGCTATTTTAATAACGCTTATTGCTATATTTGGAGATTAGTAGATTGAAAAAATAACTAAAAAAAAATCTGCTACACTTAAGTGGAAAAGAATTTTATTGCAAAACTTTTGAGACAGCAAAGATCCGGATTGGTGAAAAGTAGCATTCAAAATCATGCGGTCAATGACTTAGAAATCACAAGTCAATATACATGTTAGATGGATGATTTTCTATGATAAGAGGAACTACAGACATATTTTTTGTTGTAAAAGGACCTATAAAAACATATTTTTACATCAGAAACAAAAAATTGTAATAGTAATCTTTAAAATTCATGTTTTTCATTTATAGGCATAAACACAGGTGTGTCCCCTTAAATGATAAAATTAGAACGTACATGTATAACAATCATATTTAAAAATCATCTATAATCCATATAAAACCAGTGAAGACAAACGAGCGGGAACAGGCTTGTAAGCAACGCGTGTTTACTCGTGTTCACTGAGCGACTGTCGCGCTGGCTACAGTATGAGTGAGTAGTCACTTTCGGTGTACTGGTCACTTCGTTCGGTGAACTGAGCACACGGGTCGCCGCGGAATAGCATACACTTGCATTCTGTGCGCAGTATACACTCGCAAGTGTATCACGTGCACGAAAAGTCTCCCAGTGTGTGTACCTCCTGTGTACACCCGTCACTGAGAAATCCATCTTCGTACGAAAGCTTTGACAGCTCTTCAGGGACATCAAGCCAGTGCCAGCTTCACGCCACTCATCGAAGAAACCGTTCGTGTACAAAGATCTGCCATCATGCACGCACGTGTTCAAAAGGATCGACCGCATTCGGAAACCGTTGGAGCCGCCCTACTCTGGACCGCATCGAATTATCAACCGCATCGACGAGCACACCTACAACATCGAGATCAACGGAGAAGCCAAGGTCGTCTCGACTGACCAGCTCAAGCCTGCCTCCTTGGAGCACCAAAACGCAGCGGTTCCAGTAGAGCAGCCTCCACAAGACGCAGCAGTACCAGCAGAACAACCTGCAGAGGAACTCGTCTCCATCACAGCATCCCGCCGACCTCGACAAAAAGTTTCGTTCGCAAGAAACCAGAACTTGCTCACTGGGAAGGGAATGGCTGTAGATGCCGCTCCAGAGGCGCGCGCTACACGCAGGTCGCCCCGCCGAGCCGCCTCAGCTGAGGCGAGAGTGGGGAGGAAATAATTTGTAAATAATATAACGCCGTTGCTTACGAGTAAAAACACAGTGAAAAACGCTACAAAAAAAAACATACTGATAAAATGTCCCGAAAAAAAAAACACAGCTCATTGAATGCTGTGAAAAAAAACACCTCATCGGAGCGCCACAAAAAAAACACACCTCATTGAATGCCATGAAAAAAAAACACAGCATATTGGATGTCGTGAAAAAAAACACAGCAAATTGGATGCCGCGAAAAAAAAACACAGCAGAAAAAAAACGCAACAAGTTTCGATGCGGTGTGTTTTTTTTCGCGGCATCCAATGTGCTGTGTTTTTTTTCATGGCATTTAATGAGGTGTGTTTTTTTTCATGGTATCCAAAGAGGTGTGTTTTTTTTCACGTCGTTTCGATGTTTTTACTCGTAAGCAACGGCGATAAATAGCCATGTAATTAGATATAATTTCTCTTTTCAATACATAGTCTTTAAGCTGAACACGCGCTCCTACCAACTCACTCGCCTAGCACCTTACCCTGGCCTCCGAATATCAATATATATTCCAATTACTTGAAATAATCAAAAATATTTGAAATACCTTGAGTCACTGCTACCAATCGGTTTGAAAGTTTCATGAACAAATCAGCTAAGTTCCATGAATATTAGGCGATTGATCTCGAGATAGACATGGTCAATGATACTTTGTAAAGTACCTACGTATTTTAGAAATGAACAAGAATTTTCATGCTACCAAAACGAAAAAGGTAATTTCTGCTGGGGATTCATGAAAAATAGTATACGTGTGGCGCCTTCATCTCTCCAAGCAGCGACGATCGTTAGCAGCGCGAGCTGCGCGCCTCGGTTGAGCTTGGATCTCGTCGACGAACGATCAATCGGCCACTCTCTCGTCTCACCTGGACTACACCACACGTGTGGCAACTTCGGCGCCCGAAGTAGTTTAGCTTAATTCGTGCTTCGCACAATCCTTATAATTAGTTTAAGTTCGTTAAATAAAGACTTTAATTTTACTCGACTGCCTCGAATCTCTTCATACCCGGAGTTCAAATATACGGACGGTGAAGATTATACCTCAACCCGTAAATACGCACCTATAAAGCGAAAAAGAAAGCATCAGCACATGTTTATCAGCCTCGGCTTCGCCTCAGATGATAATTACGCGTGCTCTGAGGCTTACCAGTTTTTCGCTCTCTAGGCACGTAATCCTCTCTTAAAATAATGATGACCTTAAAAGTGAAGCCAATCTATTCGGCCTCTGATTGGTCGACTGACTTTTGACTTGAGTTGAAACGTAATAAAATGACATCTACGGTCAAAATAGCAACTTTTTCGAAATTGACTGAAAAATATACGCGTGCGAAGCGCGCCTGAAAGTTACAAGTATACTATATAATATATAATGTAAATCGTTATAGCTACAAAAAAACCTACCCAATTCAAAAAGACGAAGTTGTTGAATGAGTTTCATTTTATGAGGTACAGGTGTTCGTGTATAGTAGATTTCGCGGGTCCCCGAATCGCGATTCTCGTATATATGAGGAGCTTGGAGTGACGCTGCTCTCGTCTGTCCTACTTGCCATTCCTAGCACGACACGCGAGAGAAATTAAACGACGGCTTCGCCTTGGCGTCATTACCACGTGCATGCTGGTGTTTCATTTATTACCCATGTAAGAAATAGTATTTTTTCCATACCCGTGCGAAAGTTTTGAGAAAGATAGTAAAAATAAGAATTTTAATGAATTTATACATTAATTTTTGGACGAGCAAAGTGTTTATCATTTGTTACTTTTACCGCAAGCTAAGTCAGCGACATACTATCATCAAAGCATGATATTTCAAAGTTTTCCATTTTTTTGTTAAAATTTACATGTCTTTTTGTAATGTTTTAGGCTAAGTAATTGGAGCGATAAAATGATCAACATTACGTTGTTAGGTCGAGCAATCTCTGTTCTTGCCAAAAATGCAGGAGTGGATAAAAGTGTTCCTTTTTCTAGGGCGACCTATCCTATCCTACGTGAGCGGTGAAAAAATGAACTTTTGCAGGAGGGATGAAAAAAAATTTAAATAGCCATATAATCCAAATAAAACCATTTTATCTACGGCACCCAAAGTGTAAACAATGTTGCGGACATAAGAGTACCGATAAATAAGGGATTGTAATCATGAATTTCTCTAAAATGTTTGTATCGTGATCTATTGGGTTAGATATATTGGAGGTATGCTTATAGTACACTAATTATAAGTCTTACACCTGATAAATAAACAATCAAAAATATATAATATTATGATGAAAAATGTATTGAATAAAATATTTTTCTCATCATTAACATGAAATGAATGCGTCTAAGCATGAGCTTTTATTTCGTTCACAGGATCTATATACATAGATATATTTTATAACTCAATAAACGATTACATATTCAATATGTAAAGCTATTATTACTTAGTCATACATCATTTTTCAACATTAAATATCCAAGTGTATTTAAATATCCGACCGCGAAAACCGATGAAAAATAAATGAAAAAACATGTACACAAAAAATGACTACATAATTAACTAATATCGATAGCAATAGTTTCTTGACAAGGCTGTGATTTAATTTAAAAAATTGCTCTTAACGGACCAACATAGGAGGTAAGCAGAATGAAAACATACCAAACGTACATTATATCGGATTGAAGTCAGACTAAAGTCCGAAATGTACACCAATCTTTGAAGACGAATTAGATGTATAAAAAATATTATTAGTCTACATTGAAACAAACAAAACTATAAAATATAACTTTAAACTTGACTAGTGCGCAAATCTTCGCGAATACATGTAAATACCAAGTACTGAAACAATGACGGCTACCAATACAATCGAAGAAATAATCAGAGTTGTATTAATTTTAGAATTAACATCAGCCAAGCCAGCCGTAACTATATTTTGGATCTCAACCTCTGGTGACAAAGTTGTAGTTGCTTCCGTAGGAATAGTAACTTGCGTGACCGAAGAACTGCTTTCTGTGCCTGGTGTGACAGTTGTCGCATTGATACCTGCCTGCGGTCCTTCTTCGGGTTTCTCGTTTTCTGCTGGCTTGCCAGGGGCTACTGGTACCTCTTGTCCTTCTTCCGGTATCTCGTTTTCTGCTGGCTTGCCGGGGGCTACTGGTACCTCCTGTCCTTCTTCCGGTTTCTCGTTTTCTGCTGGCTTGCCAGGGGCTACTGG